GGGAGAGCAAACCTCTACTGTCCTGTGCCTCTTTGCAGCTCGCCTGCATGGAACACTCATGTGGGTCTGTGGCAGGATTTTTCAGGATGAAAGACATTCTAGAAGACAATACAGACTGCAAATTATCTTACCAGAGAGAAGAGCCCATGCAGACTATACATGAGGGATAGCTGCTGCCTGCCTTTCTGCCAGTGCCCTACCCAGTGTCCCAGCTCCCTGACTTGTGCTGCTCCCTCTTGCAGGAGGAACAGGGGTTTGGAAGAATGGAGTTGTAGAGAGGTGGTAGCAAACACTGTGTGCTGGGCCTCAGAATGAGCTGTTACAAGAAATTTCTGTAATAGCAGGCACACCTGCTATTACAGAAATCCTCTCAGACTCTGTCCCAGCCCCGGGCAGCACCAGCACAGGGAGCAGGCTTCCTCCTGCACCAGCATTGCTCTGTCAAGATGAAGGCAGAAATGACAGCATGATAAAACCTGTCCTGGGGACGTGGGAGGTGGGGCCTCAGCACAGCTTGAGCCATAAATAATCTCCCTACACAGCAGTTAGAGGAACAATTGTGTGGGAGTATCTCTTGGTAAAAAGATGCTCAGGCAAAGATGGTCTTGAAGGAAAGCAAGGGATTTCTGAGTGGCAGGGTGGGCTCTCCAGTGAAGACAGAGCTTCCTGGGTGGCAGCAGGTCATTCACCAGACCTGCCTCACCATGGTGAGTCACTGCACCAGAGAGACAAATTTAGTGTGAAACAACCCAAATCACCCGTTCTCTGGTGTAGCCTCCCAGGACAGGCTTGTGCTGCAGCACAGATTTCAGACTGCCCTCCAGCTAATGTATGCAGCAATAAGATGTGATCCCTTCCCCATACCTTCAGACTCAAGATTCACATGGGGAAAGGTGAAAGGGTGTAAAGGGAAGTGAGAGCAATGAATACAGAGTATTTTATGCAGAACAGAGACAGTAAGCCCCAGGCACACAGTCTGACCCAGCACAGGAAGAACAGTCACATCCAGGATTGTGTAAAAGGTCTTGAAGGTCAGGTATAGAGGAGTAATTACAAATATAGCCAGAAAACTGAGCAAAATGGCTGTCATGGGAATGTGTGGAGACAAATTCAAAGGACACATTGAAAGCTTGAATGCAGGGGATTCATGAGTGGGATGCTGCAGAACAGCCCTGTACTTCTGTTTAGCTGGGAGCTTCTCATGCATAATCCTCTTTCAACCTTGACTTGCAGAACTTGGTCTTGCTTTACTTCTATTTATTTATATATATATATATATATATATATATATATTTTCTGATTAAGAAGTAGGAAGGTGGCATGTGGCAGGGAAGAGTTGAACAGAAGTCACCATGTGTTCTTGTTTTACCAGCTTAGAAATGGCGTCTGGTTACACTGTGCAATCTCAGCACTGACTGACAGCAGAGCTTACCCTATGAGCTCAATACCTTCTCCCATGCAACCAAGAAGTCCAGCTGTGGTCCACTCCAGCCCTGAGAGTAATGGCTGTCAGACTTATCCTGCAGCCAGAGAAAAGATGGAGCCAGATCCTCTGAAAGAACCTGGTGAGAGTCCAAAAAAAAACAGTGTTGAGAGGCTTTACTGAACTTCTATGGTACTGCATTCACCTAGCTCTCACACCTAAGAGGAGTGAATACTGCAGAGCTACTGGTGTCCTTGACAAGGTTTCTTCTCCCACTTGAGACTAGTAGAAAACTAAAGAAAATGGCCCCAAATTCTTTGCAAGGCTACAGGTGTTTAGCCAGCAAGGTGCCAAGCCATCATACGAGGTGACAGATCTATCCTAGAACACTGGGATAATGTTGGCTTGGCATCATATTGATCTCCTAAAAATAAGTTGTACCCTTGGACAGCACTAGCTTCTGGAAACCCCAGCAGGCTTGCAGAAACCCAGCCGACCTCTGAATACACCTCTGACATGGAAATAACTGAATTTTCAATGTAAGAGAAAAGTCAAAAGGCATAAGTGGGGGAGACTTGCCCATTACAGCCAGAAAATCAGAAGAATCTCTGGGAAAAAACCCTTGGGCTCCTGGCTTGAGGCCAGTTCTTCTAACCATAAAACTTCCCCTCCTTCAGTGCCCAGTTTCCTAAATCCCATCTCCACTTCCTAAATGGTGAGGTGATGACTCAAACTGCTTCTCAAGACTCTTCAGAGGTATAGCTGTGCATCAGCACCACCTTGCAGCAGTGGAGCTGGCTGGTCTCTCTTCGCTTCAGGGGATGTTCATGAGGTTGAAGATGCCATGCCCTGGCTCTGCAAGCTGCCAGCACCGTATGTTTCCAAGGAATATACCAGAAAGCTGCAGCAGCAGCAGTTGTTGTGGGCTAATCTGCTTCCTCCCCCTGGTGCTCAGCTTGGTCGCTCATTTCTATGGATCAGCTCATGACCTGGCACAGTAGCCCTGCTTTCCCCCACAGGACATCAGTGGCCACTGGGATAACAGGAGTGCCAGGGAACTGAACAGCATCCCCTGCATGCTGAGGGTACCTGTGCAATACACTCCCCCAGCTGTACTGCAAGGACTGCAGGAGTCACAGCCCAGCATTCACTAGGTCTAGCTCAGAAAGCTATTTTGGCAGGCCTGTTTGAAGTACTATGAATCAACTAAACATGGGCATCAACTGAAGCTTAAAAAGGAGACTTACAGACACCTCTCAAGAGAAATGCAGATCCAACTTTGGCAGAATATATTCCAACAGAAAGGTTGAAGCTTGCTGCAAATCTTGATTGAGCAGAGCAGAACAAAGCTCTGGTCCTTCAAGCTTGTCTGCTTTGAGCCATCCCTTCCCTGCACAGCTACAGCGGACAACACCCCCAAGCCCTGTACTGCAGTGCTGTACAGCCATTTCACCACTGCTCTGCATACAGGAAAACTTGATAGACAAGAGCACAAAACCAGTACTGGTTTGGGATCCTTACCATTGGTGTAGACCTAGGTTGTTGAGTTCACTGAACATCCTGATGGTGTCTCAGCACACACCTCTACAATACACTAACAGTCTCTGGTGCTCTTTCTGCATCTGCAAACAACCTGTGGACAAAAACCCAGAACAATATGAACATTTCACAGCTGGAAAGTATCCATAATTCCTAGTACCTCACACATACATCTCAATAGCTGTAGCCAGCCAACTGGCCAAACCCCTCACAGGCCAAGAGCTCTCAGGCCCTTGGAGCACTTATTAACCTTGGCCCTACCCAGCCACAAGTCCAGCTTCTGCCACTCCTGCCCTCAGGCCCAGTGATTCTATACATTAAGAGACTCTGCCAGGTGGCACTTTTCCACTTCACAGCGGGAAGTCAAGAACACAGTGCTACCACCACAGGGAAAGAAAGAGCTGTCCCAGGACATGGCCAAGGGCATTCTTAACTACAACAGAAAATTTAAAACCCTGCATCACTTATCCTTTAAATGAGAAATGCACAGTGCTAACTCAGAGAGCCACTGGAATCCTTGAGGACCAGGTGCTAGTGTCCTGAGGCAGACAGGGAGGGTAGTTTCCCCCAGAGGAAAGAAGACCTTTCTATAAACCAGCATCTATGTTTTGAGGAACTGAGCAGAGCAGGGTGCACAGACAGATCATTGCTTTCCAGGAAACTTGGGACCAGGGGTCTGGGATTTGTTTACTGTCTGTGGGCCCTGCTCTTTTGCCAGGTGGATTTTTTTAAAGTTTCTATGCCCTCAGTAATGAGTAGCTTGATGCTATTCTGCACAAGTCAGCAGGTCTCAGTCCCGAGACAGGGATGGAGTCACACCCCCTGTGCCGGCTCGGAGGTGTGGTGTGCGAGTGCCGCACCGACGCGGACCGGGTGCCACCGCTGCCCGCTCCGCAAACCGACAGCGGGGAGGAAGGAGCAGCGTCCGTTTCTACGGGGTCGTTATGGCAACTGCGCGGGCAGGAGTCCGGGCCGCCGGTGTGCGGGGGCTACGGGCAAAGGCAGGGACCCCGCCCTGTGCCCGGGGCTGCCGAGGCAGGTGGGGCACCGGCGGGGGAGCGGAGCGCGAGGAGCCGGTTGGCAGCGTGGGCGGATGCGGGCTGGGAGCGGCGGCCCGCGGGCAGCCCTGGGGCAGGCACAGCCCGGTACCGGCGGAGGAACGGGGCGCAGTGGCTGCCGGTCGGGGCTGTTATGAGAAATGTGAGCTCCAGGGATTGGCCTTTCCCGGGGATCTGTCCGCTGCTGCGGGCGGGCAAGGACAGCACAGCCCGCTGGGAGAGCCGCGGAGCCGGGCATGTCGCTGGGAGGGTCTGGCGGGGCCGTCGCTCACCGGCAGCAGCGGGTCCGGCTCCGCGTGGTGCTGAACGGACAGCGGCGCCGCGCTGCGCATGCGCGACCGCCCGCCGGGGCCGGGGAGTGATCCGGGACCGGGGAATGGGGACAGCCGGTGTGAGCCCGGGAACCCGGGCCGTGGGGAACGGCGGCAGCCGGTGCGCGCCTGGGGACCTAGGCAGCTGCGGGGCTAAGCTACCGGCGTGCGCCGGGGAATTGAGGCCGTGGGGAACTGAAGCGGCTGGTGTGCGCTGGGATCTCGCGTGCGCTGGGGAAACGGGATAACCGAGGAACTGGGACAGGCGGTGTGCTCTGGGGAACCGGGGTAGCTGCTGGGCTACAGCCACCGGAGTGCGCCGGGGGACTGGGGCCATGGGGATCTGGTGTGTACTGGCGATCTGGGATAAATGAGGAACCGGGACAGGAGCTGTGCGCGGGGGAGCGAGTGCGCCCCGTGAGCTGGGCCACCAGAGCCGGTGTGCGCGCCGCGCCGCTGGGAGCAACCTGCGGAAGTCGCTGCGACACCAGTGGGACCTGTGACCACCGAGGCCCGCTGTCCCGCCCGGCACGCCCCGCCGCGGTCCGGTGCCTCCGGGCCGCCCACGGTAGCGCGCTCCGCCGCCGGGGCGCGGCCAGGGGGCGGGGCCGAAGGCGCGGCCAGAGGGCGGGGCCGAAGGCGGCGTGGCGGGGGGCGCGCCCCTCCCGGGCGGCCGCCGGTGTCCAGGGCGGGTGCGGCGCCGGATGGAGCGGCCGGGGGAGCGCCGCCGGGGCCGCAGGTACCGGGGAACTGGGGAAAGGCAGGGCAGGCAGGGCATGGCATGGCATGGCAGTGCAGTGCAAGGCAAAACAAAGCAAAGCAAGGCTGGGCTGCCGCCTCACCACGGCGAGCTGCGGCGGTCAGCGGGACGGTGTCCTGGTCCCGGCGGACGCCCCGCAGCGGCGGCGGGGCAGCCCGGGGGCGACTCTGGGGCCGAGCGAGGCCTCTTGGGACGGCGAGGCAGGAATGGCCTCGGGTGAGGACGCCCAGGTGCGGACTCTGCTGGGGCCGGGTGTAACCGCGGCCTCCAGCCGCCGCTCGGAGGCTTTGGGCTGCCGGCCCCCCTCCGCTCCTTCCCCTCGCGGCCCGGGGCCTCATCTTCGCAGGGACGCTGGGCGTCCGCTCCTCGGAGGGAGGCTCTCCGCGGGGAGCCCGGAGCCTTGTTTCTCCCGCGGGAAGGAGTAAGTGCCTGGTCTGTCCCCCTTGCAGGGTGGCCCGGCACTGGATGCTGGCTGACAGGTAGAGCGATGCTCGGACATGATGCTGGGCACAGCTACTGTGCGATGGTGCGGTAACGCTGCAGCAGCTTCTTGCTGCTTCGCTGAGGGACAGGGCCTCCTTCAGCAGCTGATGGAAAGCCCCACCCAAGCTCTCCTGCAGGGCACTGTGGGCAGGTAGACTCGGATGCCTGAGCAGTGAACGTCCCAGGCTGGGGAGGTGGTGATGCAGGTGGCAGGCACGTGCCCTGCTGATGGCTAGCCAAGGGGCTGTTCCCTGTGGGCTGATTGTGGGAATCATCTCTGAGTCTGAGTCTTTCTTTCTGGCTGTTCCTTCTAGAGGCACCCGGCAGTAGGTGTGAGCTGATCTTGCCTGGCTCCTGCAGTAGCCTGGCTCTCTGGTGTCTGATGATGAGTGTGACCCCGACCAGGGGATGCCTCCTGGACCTGCCCTGGGAAGACATCTTGGTTCCACATATCCTCTGTCATCTGCCACTGCAGCAACTCCTGAGCCTGCAGAGGGTCAGCAAGTCGTTCCAGTCTCTCATCCAGTTGTACCTGGCCAACATGCGCTGCTTTGACTCAAGCCAGGTATCAGATGGCTCTGAGGCTGGGGGAGGACACAGATGTCCTACTGCTTTGGAACTAATAGGGGAGCATCTATGTGGGGAGAAGAAACCCTTGGCAAGGAGTGTAGTTTCTGCTCAGAAGCTTGGGTTAATACAAGTACACTTGTTCAGGTGTCAAACTGGACAGATGGGCTTAGGGAGGAGAGGCAGTGATTCAGGGCCCAGCAATGCCAGTGTCTTGAGTAAGAGGCCCTGGGAGGAGTAAGCCTGGAAACTCCACCCAGGCCATTATGGGGCACTGGCTGGCAGTTTGGCGTTTTGGAGTGGCATGTCCTCACAAAAGTTGTGCAGTAGGTTGGGTGTCATGGGAGATTACTCTGTGCTTGGTCTTCAGGGAATGTTTGTACTATTCCTGGGAGCCACTGCCTGGGACTGGGAAAGACTGGAGTAGCTGCTGTTTGAGGACATAGAGTGGTCTAGCAAAGAGATTTTCGGAGAGCAGAGGTGTGGAGCTCATAATGAGGATAATATTGCAGGAGTGATAATGTGGGATGGAGAAACCAGAGTATCATCTAGCTTGTGGCAGTAGCGTTGGCATGAGATGAGCCAAAGTCTGATGGTAGGGTTTGCCCTGGGATGAGGACAGGGGATGGCTTTGGTCACTATTGTCACAGAAGAAGAGAGGAGGCGAGGGAGTATTTGGTGAGGACCAGACTTACCTGAAGCCCTGGGGGGATGCCTCATTCTTCCTGGGTTCCCCACGCAGATTGCACCTGCCATCCCTCGAGCCGCTTTTGTTAACCTGTTGAAGGACAACGAAGTTCTGCAGCAGCTGGCACTCCAGAACTGCTCCGACTGGCTGACGGACCAGGAGCTGCTCCCGGTCATCGGGCAGAACCGCCACCTGCACCAGATCCAGCTGAAGGGCTGCGCCCAGCTCAGCCGCCACGCGCTGGTGGCCATCTCGCTGAGCTGCCCCAACCTGCGCCAGCTCTCCCTGGCTCACTGTGAGTGGGTGGACAGCCTGTCCCTGCGCAGCCTGGCTGACCACTGCAAGGCGCTGGAGGCTGTGGACCTGACGGCCTGTCGCCAGCTGAAGGACGAGGCCATCTGCTACCTGGTGCAGAAGTGCAACAGGCTCAAGTCTCTGTCACTGGCTGTCAATGCCAACGTGGGCGACGTGGCAGTTGAGGAGACTGCCAAGTGCTGCCCAGAGCTGGAGCACTTGGACCTCACGGGGTGTTTACGAGTCAAGAATGACTCCATCAGGTACTGAGCAATGTGGAGGGCCAGGGTGGGGATGGTCTGGGATGGGGAGAGGAAGAGAACCAGAGAGGAAAGTCATATTTCTTCACGCTGAAAGCAATGAGAGCTTAGTCTGGGAGAGAAGCCACTAGCAGGCCCTTCAGGGAAAGCACTGTGTGCTATTGACAGCAAATTTCCCAGCATATCATGGAGGATAGTTACAGGATCCAGATGTCCCTTGACTTTATCTCATACCACCATGGTGCTGTCCCCAAAGGATGGTGCATGTGTGGCACAGTCATGAGGCTGCTGGGAGTAAAGAGGAGTGTGAGTAGTGCACTTAGGAGTCCTGACTTGCAACTTGCATATGCTGTCTTTCTTGGCAGGGTCCTGGCTGAGTACTGTCCCAAGTTGCGCTCGCTGAAGGTCAAGCATTGCCACAACGTGGCTGAGTCCAGCTTGAGCATCCTCCGAAGCCGTGGGGTGGAGCTGGATGTGGAGCCTCCGCTGCAGAGGGCTCTCGTTCTGCTGCAGGATGTGGTTGGCTTCGCCCCCTTCATCAACCTTCAGATCTAGAACTGCTGCTGCTGGGGAGGGGGGGACTGACACAATGCTGGGATCCCAGAAGGATGCCGGAACTGGCTGCTGTAGAGACGTGCAGAGGGAGAGGTCAGTCCCATTGGTGAGGCTGGCCTGAGCGGGGCTCACTCTTTCCTCTGGGGCTGTGTAGCAGCCACTGAGTGTTCATAAGTGGACTTCATTGGTGCCTCTGGGGCAAGTAACTCCCTCTGCAGTGGTGTGAAAAGAGCGAGTGATTTGCAGGAACACCATGGTGCTGAACAGGTGCTTGGTCAGGCCAGCTAATAGATAGGTCTTATTATTTGCTGTATTTTAAATCTTTAAGCGGCAGCTGTCCAGAAAGCAGGGGAGTGTTTAATGAGGACTGTTCCCTGGGGTGGGTGTGCAGGGCATGCCAGCAGAGCTGTGGAACAAACCAGACCAGCTGGAGCAGAAAGAATGGCTACCAGTCCTCCTCTTGGGAGAGGGCAGGCCCCTCTGGGCTCTGGGAGGAGGGCAGTGAGCCCAGCTCCAGCCCACAGCCACTGGCTAGCCTGGCACCAAAGGACTAGCATGGCCCCAGTACAGGCAGGGTGTCTGCCCAGGCCTAGCGTGCTGGTTTAGGCTGGAACAAGGTGAGAGTTGTTTTCAGGGGGAACATGCTCCAAATGGCAGTTTGACTGACAGAAAAATGCCAAACCTAGCTGTGCTGTCACTGAAAGCAATTGGTCATTGTCATTTGTTTCTTCCAGCATCTGACTTAATATTTTAGTAGTGCCCAGGCCTGCTACTGTATTTGCTCCCTGTTGTGTGGCTGAGCTTTGGCTCTTAACAGAGGTGAGAAATGGCAGGAGCACTGACTCTGCTATCAGCTGGAGTTTATGGAGAGAGCTGCAGATTGTGTTGGCAGGGGGAGCCTAGTTCTGGAGTTGAGCCTAAGCCCTTTTATTCGCTAGGCAATTAATCAAACAGCAGCTGCATCTTGAGAACGTGATGAAGAGAGTAATTAGAGGAAGAGAGGATGACACTGCTCCTGTCTTTAGAGGCAGTGTTTTAAAGCATGTGCAAGCTCTGGCTGAACTACACACCAACTCACATCATCTTTATTAATACTGGCACTCAAAGCAACAGTGCACAAAGACTTGTTAAAAAGATTGCTGTAAAAGCACATGCCACATCTCAGATCTAAAAATGTCCCATGCAAGGAATAGCAGAGAATGCCCAGGTCCTGGAGAGCCACTGTGGTGTGCCCCTGGGGGCAGAGGGATAGCTACACAAGGAGAGAAGTCTCCTCAGCCAGGTTAGTTGAGGAAGCTGAAAGCAGTGTCCTGGCTTCCAGGTTAGTTCAAGTTAGTGGCAGGTGGAGTCACCTCATTCCTAGCACCACACATCCATCCTGCCATGCCTGGCAGTGAGGTGGAAGGCTGAAGAGCAGGAGGACTTGGCTGTCAGTGGAACTTATACTTCCTGGCTGGTTTTAGGCTGATGTAGGTTCTCTTCATCTCCTCACTCTCAGGCTTCTTTATGTCTTTGTACCTCTCTCCTTTTGTGCTCACCACCTGGTTATCAATATAGCGGATCAACTTCTTGGGAGCCTGGAGAGGAAAGATATGAACACCAAGTGGATGGACAGCCACACTGCTAGAGATATGGAGCACACAAGCAAAAGCAGACCTGCACTATGGGAGGTGGGTGGGCTGCTTTACCACTGTCTGTGTTGGGAATCTTGGCCAAAACTGGGAAGGATGCTGTCTGATGGGAGGGAGCAAGAGCCATGGTAGTCAGGAAAGGTAAGAAGTGACATTTCCTGCAGTACCTTAGCTGAGCTCATCTTCCCTCTTTGACTGACAGGTTCTATGAATGGACCTGCCCTGTTGTTGTTTTGGACTTGCAGCCTGGTTTTATTTTGAACCTTGGGACATTCAAACTGCTGGTGAGCTGGGCCTGCTTACCTCTTTGGGTGGAGCTGGCCGATGTGTTTTCTGATCATCTGCGCTATCCACCATCATGTATCTGAAACACAAGAAGTATTCAGTGAACACTGTAACATACATTGCCAGGGGCTACTCACAGCCTATGTCCCTTCCCCCTGGCTGGTTTATGTCCTACTTGCCTAGATTGCAGCTAGGAAAACTTGATGTTCCCCTCTGGGTGAAATGGGCAACAAGTATGTCACCCTTCTGGTGAGAATCTAGCGGGATTCTGCTGGAGTAGCATCCTTAGCTGTATGTGAAAGGTATTGAAAACTCAGGTGGTCGAGAATGCTGACAGCCACTGCAGAACTGAGAGAGGTACTGAGGTCTGGTGTGTTCTGCCATCGGGGCAGCTTTGTTCCTTCTCAGTCCAAGTGATGGCATCCAAATGAGACACAGGTGAGATTACAGGACCAATCTGTCTGCTTTTGCCCTGAATGATGGTGTTCCTTTCACACTCCTCCTACTACTTGACTGTGAAACAGGTCTGTGCTGGAAGCAACTTGATAAAAGCATCACCTCATTTCCCATGTAACTGAAACATCAGGGTCCAAGCATTTGCTTGCTGTACTGCTGAGTTGCTACTCTGAGATTTTGGTGCTGGTTTAGCACAGGTGACCATGACTTCTCCCTCAGTAGTTAGTATAGTTACTCTTGTGTATCTTCAGCTATGGCGATCTGCTTTCTGTACCTGTGCCTGAGTGATGTTTAAAGTACAGGATGTTGCCAAAATGTCATTAAAGCGAAGTTCTCAGAAACATAACAAGAAGCTGGTGGTTTTTTGTTCCCTTGCCTGTCACTCTGAAATGAGCCTGCACAGGAGATGGGCAAGGACAGGGATTACAACTTCTGCCTGGATGCTCTTCTGCCTTGCTTTATCTTTCCTAGCCCATTGACTGTTTATTCTATCCCTGGGGAGAATGTAGAGTGGGAAAGATGTGGCTGGATAGACATGTGGAAGCTGCATGCCTCCATGACGATACTCATGAAAGATGAGATCTTAAAGGAGATAGATGAAACCACAATGTGGGTTCTCCCATTGAGAATTAAATGCTTTTAGAAATGAATGTAGGTAAACTAATCTAAAACTACTTTCATTCCCAAGAAATCTATAGGAGGACTTCAGAGAGGTTTCTTTAAATGCATTGAATTCACACCTTCAGCGACTGAGATTTAATCTTCCCAGTGCTGTTGTACAGGCAGTCTCTTGAAGGTATCTTTAACCTTGTTTGGACTGTCTCCAAGAATGGAGGTACGAATGAGTTACTGTAGTTCTACAGGTCATCATGTGTTTGTTACCGGAGCTGCAGCATGATGTTTGTGCCTTGAACCTTTAACCAGGACCTCAGCTAACAGCACTGTGACTTACACTGTTTCTATAGGTGGCTGAAACCTTGCACGCAGCCGGTGCTGTGACCCAGATGGTACAGGTCACGTGTTTCTGTGCCAGAGCTCTAAAAGAAACCAAACCTGTTCTGCTGTTTAGGTTTTGTGGGTTGTTTGTTTGGGTTTTTTTGTGTATGTGTTTGGTTGGTTTTTTAATTTTTTTTTTCTTCCCAGCTGATGATTGTATTTGTGCTTAGATATGTTCAGCCAATACCTACCCTTAGTTCTTTATAGACCACACTGTTCCCCAAACTGCTACCTCTTCATTGATTTGGAGCAAAACAAGGGGTTCTCTGCTGCTGGGTACTTACTTCTGTAGGATGACCTGTTTTAGTTCCTCATGGTTGGGCGCTCTGCGAGGCCGTGTCAGTTCCTGGGAGGACACAAGTTGGTGTGTGAATAGCACAACAGGGCATACAGCTTACTTGCTAGCTCAGTGAACCCAGCTGCTGGTAGAGCACTCCAGGGGGAAGGGGTGCCAGCCACAGCTCCACTGGGGTCCTGGCTTGGTTGTGGGCACAGCCTATACTAAGAGAGCCAGGGGAGGGAGAGGAGCTGTCGCTCTGCATGATCCTCCTGGCTTATCCTGCATAAAGTTTCTGCAGTCAAAATTTCTGCTTGTAGCACACAGCTGTGGCACCTGTATGTCCCTGAGCTCTGCCTTGCTCCTTGGCCCACTGCCACCCTGGTCGGAGTACAGTACCTTCACACTCGCACCTGCTGGGCCAATTTCCACCTTCTCCTCCACAATTAACTGCACTGCCTCTTCCAAGTTCCCCAAGGACATGGCAAGAGCCTTCTCTGCCTGGCTCACGGTACAGGCTGGGAACATCTCCAGTAGCAGCTCCACCCCATCCTTCAAGTCAGCACCTTCCTAGTTGGAGAAAGAGACAGAGGTAAGTTGGGGATGCAGTGAGGAGAGGGCTACTGGAAAGGGCCTCTGGTTTTTCATGGTCAGGAAATTCAGCTTGCCCTTTGCTGAAAGCTCTCTCTCCTTACCATCATTACTAAATCTGATTCCTGAAGCTAACAGGGGACTGTATCTTTGGAAAGACTAACTCCTCTTACTCTCCTTTAATCTCCTCCCACTGTATTTCACCTTGCTTTGAAGCAGGGCTTCTGTAACCTGACTTATCTTGTGTGGCCATGCTTCAGAGTGACTTCCTGGACCCTGTGGTATGAATGCCTGACTCCTGCCCACCTTGTGAAGTTATATGTACTTTGATTAGAAAGGAAAGGGCCTGCTAAACACTGACCTGATGCTACATCAGAAGGAATCACCATAGCAGCATTTATTAGAATGCTGTGGACACAGAATGCTTGTACTGCAGAGCAGGAATAGATCAGTACTGGAGAAACAGCAAGCAGGGTGTGGGGGAGGAAGGTGGGGTTGATGTAGAAGGTACTGCAGTACCTGTAGCTGCTGTGGGATCTCTGGAAGCACTGGGACATGCTCTCTCAGCCATTGCTCTTGCTCACCCTTTCCAGCCACGGAAAAGGATGAGCCAGAGCATTGGCTCACAGTCTGTCAGCACAAAATTTTCTGACAGTCTTGCTGAGGCCATACAATGGAGAAGATCATGGACACAAGGGATGCTGTGTCACAGCCTATGCTGTGGTTCCTTCCAAAGCTGGAAAATGCCCTCAGGTGGTGCTGGTAGCCTAGTGCTGTGACTGTCCCCATTGTTCCTGCTCCTCTGCGGGGTACTCATACCTGGGCCCCGGCTCCGTCTGTTAGAGTGCACAGTCTTTCCCCGTTGCAGGCTCCAGCTCCAGCCTCCTGGCTCTTGGTGAGATCTTCAGAGGGCGCTTCACTCCTGCTTTCCACAGCCTTTTGGCCAAGTTTTTCTTAAAGACACAGTGATATCTCCTGAGGAACAGTCCCACTAAGGCTAGAGCTCTGTGCTTTCTGTTGGCATTAGACTGCTAGTGCATTGTGTGCCAAAGCAAATATCTTCTTAAGTGACAAGACTTGGAAG